CCCTTTTCGCCTCAGTCTTGCTGTCTGTCCAACTGTATGTCTCTCTCCATCATCCATCCTTCTCTTTCGTGTCTGGGCAAAAGACGAGTTGATAGAATATAAATACGTACTCTTAGGCAAAAGAAACGCGAAATTTCCATCGTCCTTAAAGCGCTGGCCAAAGTTTCCATTGATGAGTACTGTTCACATGTTCCATTGAGGCATGGTCTAAACGGTGTTTGTTGAACTCATTCGAACAATGCAATGTCCTGATTGGTCGCTTATGCAACAAACAACTAAACAACTATCACAGCTCACGGGTACTCATTTGTCACATCATTCCTAAAAAATGGTATGGGTTTAACGCCCCAATCAACACTATTAGGGTAATGAAGAGGCGGGACCTCCGAGTTTATTTTCCATCTGCGAACCGAGCCAAATAGGAAATTCATGTAAAGTGCCTTTCCCAAGGACACAACGTAGGACTGAGCTGAGGCTCGAACCCCGAACCCGCAATCTCACGATTACGAGTCCGGTAGCCTAACTACCAGGCTACCGACGCCACACATCATTTGAGTAGTAGATTTATGTATATGGGGTCACGAAGGCCTGGCCCACAATATAAAGCCCCGAAACGTGGAATTCAGTTGGAAACGAAAACAGTATCAAGATACTGAGACTTTCTTCAGAAAACTGTGAGGGGATTTTTGGACAACTACAGCCTGGTGAGTCTTCTCAACAGGTGGTAATTGTTATAGGCGTGCATGTCTAGACTATCTACAGTCAACAGAACCGGTTTCCCGCCTCCAGTGCGACCAGTGATCTCCCTAGAGCTGGAAGACCAGACCGACAACTGCAGCTCAGGACTGCCTCATGGTACGCCAATACTGTGTAGATCCGTTTTTTTGACAGGAGCCGAGATCACCAGAAACACTATCGAATAAATGGGACGGGCCCAGAGTACCAGAACCGTACGGCAGAGATTGCAATCCACGGGCCTCTCGTGCACACGGCTACGTGGTACGCCAGTTCAGATACATCAGGACCTCCGTGACTCGCAACCGTATGGTCGTGGGTTCGAATCCTGTCAGGGACCCGACGTTGTGAAAGGCACTTTACACGAATTTCCCTCACTTCACCAAGGTGGGAATGGGTACCCGGCTATAGACAGCGAAAGATCTTGTCAGTTTGTTAGTATTTGAGCGCTTAATCAGCTGCTTGCACTGTATGCTTCTCGGGAAGCTGAGGATGTTTCGGAGTGTTCTATGGTGTAAAGCGCGTAGAGCCTGCTGTTGAGCGGGGATGTGCGCTATACAAATGCTATCTATTATTTTATTTATATATATACACATATATATATATATATATATACATACATATTATATAAAATATATGTAACTGAAAAAAAAAAAATAATAAAAATAAAATATATATATATATATATATATATATATATATATATATATATATATATATATATATATATGAATTCAGATCCCTGCTTTCACGATAATCTCCATAGTGTATTCGGGATGTAACATGAACAGAATCCTACACGTCGAGAGTTCAGTTGTAGATGGTTTCAAGATACGATATTTAGAGAAATGTGATATGATTGGTATTGATTAGAAAAATAAAAGGAAACGAGTAATCTTAATGGAAATGAGGTTCAAGTAATTTTAATACAAAACATTGTGAGAGAAATATGTTACAAAATCCGATCATAATCTGTTCACTTTCAGTGTCGGCCTTGCCGTGTTATTTCTCCCAGCGAGATGAATAAAGATTGTCATTGTCATTGTCATAAAAGACAATTACTGTTCAAACGTTATCACTAGTCCAAGTCTCCCAGAGAGCAGAAATTTACTTAAGACATTCTGCTTAGCTGTTTAGTCTAGAAGATGCTGAGGTAGTAAATGTAATTTTGTTTCCCCTTAACAAATGTATCACATGTTTTCAATTACAATATTTTATGCGTTGATCATGGTACACTTTCCAGGATACTGGGTGTCCAACGTAAATGATGGTATCTCTTTCTTCGTCAATAAAGGCAGATTCTTCGTATCTTCAGCCTGTCTTAGCACTATTGTTCTATTAGCATTTATTTTACGTTTGCTTGAGAAAAAGTGCCATTGGCAGTAAATCCATAACAAAAACAAGAGAAAAGTGTCCAAGATATTTTTCAGTATCCCGTGGAAGTGATATCCTGATAGGTGCTTTCTTTTTTCTTGAGTTCAGCGAGACTTACTAGCAGTGAAGGCACCGATGCCATAGGGCGTTTGCATGTACGCTCACTCGAGTATGAGCCTAGCAGACCTGAGATATACCTTCGCTATTCACGTACCCGGGGCCTCAAATCTGTGAAGATAACAAAATGGGGCATGTACATGGTGACAATAAGTTTTATATCGGAACAGATTCGAAAGGTGGGTGTTTTGCGCCTTCTTTTCTATCAAACCTCTATCCTCCTTATCGCTGTTCTTTCTTTTATGTGTCTGTTTCTATTTAGTTACACCTCTAATCTTCGGTACCTACATGACTGACTGTTTTGCGAGTGCTGTAAATTTCTTACGTAAACTAAAGATTCGGATGAAAGACATTCTACTCCGTGATAAGTACACCAGTGCCAAACGAAGTCTAAAATGAGAAGATAAACAAATTATGATTGAACGGCTGTAAACCGATTTGTCAAAAACTGATTGAAAACCCGTGCGATTGATTTACCAAAAATTATGAATGCACTAAGGAACTAACAATATATAATTAGAGAGTCATCTTCTAAATAATAGATGCGTACAAAGCTGACGTGGTTTTCGGGGCTAGAAAGAGGGGAAGACAGACTACTTCATTATTTGGTGTTGAGCCCTGCAGAAGTATTGTGAATTAAGTGATTGATCATCACGTTGGTAAGTACATAGATCTAGGTGTTCGTACGTTGATGGATCTGCAACAAGCGTCAAGCAAGTTTTGCAGATGAACTGGTTAATGACTAGCATTTCACACATCATATGTGTTGCATTTGAGGCCCTTTCATTCTCTGAGATTGTGATTTGTTTTGAGGCGGTGGTGGGGGAGGTGGTGGTGGGGGAGTGATTAAATATTTAGCAGCATGGGAAGAAATCTGTGTTTTAAATATGCTGGGCGAGAGAAGTAAATACAT